TTGAATTACTGAAATAAATGAACTTTTCCACGACATTCTAATTTACTGAGATGCACCTGTATATATATATATATATATATATATATATATATATATTAGTGTTAGTATTATTAAATATAAATACACATTTAAATACATTAATTTCACTAATAATACTTAGTAAAGGTATTATAATTAAATTCTTTTTTATATAATTACAATATATGTAATACATTATAATTAATATACACACACATATGCAGACATATACATACATGGTTATATACACAATTTATTTGATTTATTTTATTTGACAGCTAAGAATGCCTGAAATGAGAAATTGGGAAAGGCTATTTTATTAAAAATCACTATTTTTATATTATATATGACAAATAACATACTATATATGACAAATAATATTGGATAGCGTTGGGATGCAGACTTTGTATTCTGTGGGATAGGTCACATTGATCAATCATATTTTCAACCAATCCCTAGAGAATTAAACTAGAAAACTGGTTCGAGGTGAGTCATCCACATCTGAAACACACAGCATCATCAGTACTGCAGAGAAAAGGGGCTTTTTATGCATCAATCATGCATACATCTGTAAGTACCATCTTATGACATTAATAAACTATATGAATCCAACAGTATAAACCGATATCCTGTGCGCCTGTAAAGAATCCCTGCATTCTCTCCAGCACTAATGACAGTCTCTCATCCAGATATGAGTGACTCACCTGGAACCAATTTTCAAATCTCTAGTGATTGGTGGGGAACATGATGGAATGAGATGATGTATTAGACTCAGCACTAGGCTTTGAGTGCAAATTGTACTGCACAGATGCCTTTGGCTTTTTTAATCAAAGAGAACTATGCATGGCAGACACGCTGCATATTACAGCATAGTCAGACTGAGCTGAAAGTAGAAAAATGATTTAGGCCACTAATAATGTCATTTCAGAGGTGAAAAACACAGATGAAATCAAGCCTCACCCGTGTGACTCCTGTGTACAAGACCAGACTTCCATTGGCCTCAAGCACCAGCATTGTATGAATGTCCTTGGAAGAAATGAAGAGAATGTGAAATTTAGGTCTTGACAACAGTGGAGGAAAAGAGGAAGACACTTATAGCTGATGTTCAAGATTTACAAGCGTCACGATTATTTAAATGGTGTAAATCCCTCATCATAATAGGAAGCAGCAAGATCTGATCACAATGGATTTGAAATGTGACTCTACATGGAAACATTTGCAACTCTGATTTTACAATTTATTGCATGGTTAAAAGTGAGTGTTTGGCTATTAATAAACATATACCAACATGGTTCAACTTTCAATAACTTAACTTCCAAATAGTACAGATGAAATATGCACAATAACAGCAGAAAAGAGTACTACAAAAACTATAAGGTCATGTTCACTATAAGGTCAGCATGAAATAAAAATAAAAAAATCATAGTATCTATTTTAAATGCAAATTAATCATATTTTTGTGAATGGTACATCCACGCATTTGTTTTATTGTTACTTTTTTTGACCTTATAATTAAAATGTTAATCTTTTGGTAAATTAATTATTTTTTTGAATTACTGATGTATACAGGACCAGTCATTTAGTCTGTTAAACCCTGCGGCTTTCTTACACTAAACTGCAAGATCGCATTTAGATCCATCTCTATTTTTGAGTTATCTGATCGTGATTAATAATCTGATCGTGGTTATTCGATCTAGTCACAATTATATGAGAAATGCAACAATTGTGCCACCACATTTTGGCATCCAAATTTAAGCACTTAAAGAAATGTCATCAAATGTGCAATAGAAGCATGGAGAGTCATAATATGACAGGGAGTAAAAATATATTTAAAAAAT